GAGAGCCACGTGTCCTGCTGTCAGGCTCACGCTGCCCTTGCTGTAGCGTCACGGTGCCGCGTGGGAGGGGCGCGGCCCCGAGGGGGGGGCGGTCCTCGCGCCGTTGGCGCAGCCAATAAGCATAGAGCTGTGGGGGGAAGGGCAAGAGCGCGGGCCTGTTGTCACCGCCCTTCGTGGGCGGGAGAGAGAGGGCCTGCTCTCCGCCCTCGCCCCCACCCCGGAAGCGCTGAGCCGGGGCTGCCGGCCCCTTCGTTTCAGCTGGGCACTGGAGGCTCTCCGAGTGCCGGGCAGTGTCGAGTCCTGCATGAGCCTCCTTATCCCCATTTCGCAGGTGGGGCGCCATATGACGACCACACGAGAAGAGAAAGGCACGTGGGTCCCGCTGCCCCAGTACTGTGGACTTCTGCCCCGTCCCTGCTTGTCTTTAGAGAAGTGGCTAGCTGTGGTAGTGTGAAGTCAGCTAGAAGGTGCCTTTATGTACGCATAAAGAAAATACACATATAAACAGAGCGAGCGAGAGCGCACTGGCTTTTGTGAACCCAAGTTCACTCCATCCAATGCCGTCTGGAAAGGTGTAGTCAGGGACTGCCCTGCCTTGAGCAAGGGGCTGGACGAGATCAGGGTTTCTCAGCCTTTTCCAGGCCAAGATACATTTACATGAATAAAATGTCTCTCTTGTGTTCCCTGTCCCCCTATTCATGATCTCGTTGTAACCCATTGCCAAGGCAAAATTCAGCGGCACCCCTGTTCATTTGTGATGGCACGCCATTGTGCTGCGGCCACTAGTTGGGAAACACTGGACTAGGTGACCTCTTGAGGTCCTTTCCAGCTCTGCTTTCTTATAATCCCATGAAGGGTTGGGCAAGGGCAGCAGCATTTCTAGTCTGGCACCTGCTGAGGGAGGCACTTGGCTGTGGCTCATTGGAATCCAACTGTTTCCTTCAATCTCACAGGTGTTAATGATGTGCTCTCCTTTTTAATGATCCTAGTGTTCAGCTAGTGAGGTATTTTTTCTTCTGCAGTTCTGCTCTGAGCTCTTTTGCTAACCCTGCTCCTGTTTTACAGCCCTCCACAGTCTGTGCAACTCTGACTACAAACATTAGCTCAGCCCTGCATGGGAGGCGCTGCCAAGAGGCTCAACAGCAGTGGCCTTAGAGTTGTTGGGGTCCTGGGCAAGCGAGTCATTTGGGGCCCCTTAGAGGTATGTACTCAGGTAAATATTAACCCACCACAGTTGTCTTGTGAATCTTTTTAATGTTTTGGGGGGAATTAGATTAGTAGTCGAGTGTTTAAAATGCAAGTAGAGCCACTTCCTTGCAAAAACTTCCCCCCCCCACCAAAAAAAAAATTGGACCCCCTAAAGTGTGGGGGCCTGAGCAGTTGCCCAGTTTGCCCTCCCCTAAGGCTGCTACTGGGCTCAAGAAGGTGAGATTTTGTTGGATGAATCTGAAAAAAATCTAATAACTATGGGACTGTGATTACATACCGAAGGTGTAGGCAAAGTGGTGCGTTCAAGCCATCATCACTTAAAAAGAAACCCCCGTGGGTTCCTCGCCTGGACCAGCTCCAGCCCTTTAAGAAAAAAAAAAACAGAGACAAGCCCACAGGACTCGCTGCTCCTGCAGCAGCCTCAGGGCTTTGCGGGTCTTGTGGCAGAGCCCCACCACATAGCGTGTGGCAGCAGGGATTGCCCCCTGCTTGGCAGTACCTGGTGAGTCTGGGCTTTTTTTTTCTCTCCTTACAAGTGCTGGGAGCTGGGGCAGGCAGGGCAGCCATTGCAGGGCTGGGAGAGGGGTGGGGAATGGGCCTGGCCTGGCTAATTCAGAGATTCAGCTGCTGCCGAATCTCCAACCCAGATTTGGCCAAATTGAATCGGGACAGTGATTCGAATCACCAAATCGAATCGCTGTCCCCCAAATCAGCCGAATCCGAAGCGAATACTAGCCACTTCGCACAGGCCTACTATCTGGCACCCTTTGCTGTGTACATATACCACAGTCAGAAGCTTACTGAAGGGTTGAACATGTCTTTGGTTACAGCTACACGTCAAGCTAATCCTCATGTCTGGACCTTCTTCAGCAAGGCCTCCTAAGCTACGCCTCTGGCCCACCCAGTGTGTCCCCCATCCAAGTGTGTCCCCCACCTTTTACCTCTATGATCTAGCTAGCCCCGAACCCCATACAGGGCATATATTTTCTGCTTTTCACAAGCTTAAAATTGTGTTCACTTCAGGGTCCCCCTTGTCCCAGTTCTCAGTCAGGGCAAGGAGGGGCTCAGGCATCCCTAGAGGGGAAAAGTCCTCTCCTTTCAGGGCACACAGGTAGGAGGAGAGAATGTGGTCTTGAATGTTGCTGTCCCTCATTTTTCCTATCACCAAACCAAATGCCCTGTATCATATCCCTTGCCCTACCCATCCCCCATTCCTGACCTGAACCTCCTCAGCCCCTCTTCTCCTTTGTCACCTATTCCTCTTTACCCTCTTTCCATAATGTCCCCATCCTTTGCTGCAGCTACAACCTTTTCTCCTGTTCCCCTTCCCATTTTGGTCCCTTCTATTCTACTTCCAGCAAACACTACAGTTGGGGGGCAATAGAATGTGGTAGAATTATTTTGAAGAAATGCTATTTTGAAGGGAAGGACTGTATCTGAGGAACCTTTTGTTCAAATAAACTCAGTTTGGATGATTAAATGCAGGGTGTGTATTTTAGACCACTTAAATAGTTGATCTTTAAATCGAAAATGTTTACAAGCCTAACTATAGCAGAGGTTGCTCTCTACTTAATTGGAAAGCAGTATCTCTTCTGTTGCAGTCTCCCATAAAAGTAGACAAACAATACAAACGTTTTAATTCATGTAGCATTTAAAAATATTATAGTTTTAGAAAACAAATTACTTGTACTGTCCTCAAGTGATTTTACTGGCAGGCATGTTCACCAAAAGAACACACTTTGAGAGACTCCCATAACTGTTCTTTGCAAATTCACAGAAAAGGACTGATTCTAACTGTTTTTGCTCCAAACGGAATGGAAATGATACATGCAACTTGTGTGTTCGGCCATAACAATCTGAATTCTGAATATGGAAATCTTGCAACTGCTTGTAAGTGAGCTACTGTCCAATATGATTCACTAATTAGTGATTTCACCGGTTCTTTCAAGTGACACACATTTTAAAAAACAACGTATATAGACTTAACTCATGAAATGAGCTCACCATTTGCTAAATAAGGTCCAAGTCATGTAAAGCATTTATTCACCTTTTTTTAGCTTTATGCAAATCAGCAGTCTGCTGAGTTCACTGGTTTCAATTAGACGACTCATATGTACATGCTTGTCTTTGTGTGCAAGTATTTGCAGAGTCAGGGTCTGTTCATTATGAGTTACTCGCCCTCTGTTTCCTGTGCTGATTGAGAAACATTCAATTCAAATCCTTTACTAAGCATTGTTTAAGCATGTTTTTTAACATGGTTTATTCTTAGTCATCACTTAAAATGTTTGGTGATTTTTTTTTAACTTAATTACTACAATTTCAGTCCTGATCACAAAGGTAGAACAAACTTATTTTTTTAGCAGCATAATGTATTCAATGTATGCATGGCAAGTGGCATGATTGCGGCATCACACATTAGATCCCATCATGCCTTATTGCCAATGCAAGAGGAGCCCAATTCTGGGCTCTCCCTGCAGCAGCAAGAAGCAAGCTCTCATTTGAGGGGCTCCCAGCTGCATGGGTGTCCCACATATCACTGGGGCTGGGGGATTACAACAGCCATAATCTTCCAGGCTCAGAAGGTGGAGTGGGGGTAAAAACCCCAGACCCAGGGGAACGCAGCAGCCGCAAACCCTGGGGCCCAAACCTGGAGGTTTCATACATCCACAAGCCCTGGGGATTGCAGCAGTCATGATCCCCTGGGCCTGGGGGTTTCATGTTGGGCATGGTATACCCCTCTGGCTGGGACACCAACTGTAGGGGAGACCCTGCTACCTGTGCTTGATGACAGCCAGCTATAAAGTTAGTATGCATTTTTGAGGTCTATAGCTGGTTGGAGCTTTTTATTGTGTGATAAGTACTTTCCACATATAGGTAAGGTAATTGTGCAATTAACCAGTTAATTGTGTGTTACTTATAATGTGTAGAGAGGGGGCCTTAGAGGTGATCTGTAACCTTGGAAACTTATTGGATTTAAAGTCTTCCAGCTATGAACAAACATGGCAGATTTAGTACCATGTACACTTTTTAAGAAATTTTCATTTCAAAACTTTTTCAGTATTAAAACTAGCATCTTAAGAAACCTCCAGTTAGTGAATTGACTTGGGGAACTGACTTTCGTTAGTTAACTGACTCAGGGAATTTTGAAACAATATTTAACACATACACTTCCAGCCATAAAAGTTAAATTGTCTCAAGTCTTAAACCCAAATTATAAAAAGGCATAAAGCACAGTTATGGCATCCTCAAGAACTTTAGCATTTGGGACAAGGCTTACAATCGAGTGAAAATAAAATGGAGTGGTGGCCTACGTACAAAGAATTGTTTGTCACTGAGCAGCATGGGAAAGGTTTAGAGGATCTGATTGCTTGAAAGGCATGGGATTACAGGAAGCTGATCTGGCAAGGAGAAGAAAGAGGTAGGATAGAGAGATGCTTACCAGAAAGATAAAGATTCTGATTCAAAATATCCTGAGGCAGCATGAGAAACTGAGAAGTAATAAGTGTTATTAAAATGTATACTTTATTTGTAATAATGATGTGCTCTGCACTGGTACTTACTTTGAATCGGTGGATCTGTTCATTGTGGAATATGGACTTATTTAGGTTATTTGTTATAGATGTTTTCACTGTGTTACCTAAGCTATATGTAACCTCTCCAGGTGGCTTAATCAAAGACCAATTTCTAGTTCTTCCATTTTAGAACTTCTTTTCTCAACACCCCCCCCCCCCCCCTTATTTCTTCCTCCTTTTGGCCATCTTTTTCTCTTCCCCATTGTGGCAGCAAGGCACCACCACAGGCTCCCGAAGGGGAGAGAGTAAATCCTGCAGGCCCCGTACCCCGGGAGCAGACCCCCGGTAGGGATGACTCGCCTCCCGCAGGGCAGCTGGAACAGGAGCCGCGACTGTGACCGCGCGAACTGGCGTTATGCCAGCTGTTTAATCAGCTGTTTCCGGCGCGGGAAACAGCTGGACCAGTCTTGGTGGCTGTACCGGCTGCTGCGGGAAAGTTTGAAAGCCCCGCTGGAGCTAGGGCGGGGAGAGAGCCAGAGAAGGAGAGCGTGGGCCGGCAGCTCGCTGGGTGTGCTGTGGCTCCTGCGTGGCTCCCTCAGGCAACACCAGGGAGTCTTTAAGCCCCCTGCCGGAGGCAAAGCAGAGGCATCCCTCCAACTCCTGGCGAAAGTGGAGGCCAAGGAGGCAGGGGAGTCCCTTGCAGACAGCAGGAGGGAGGAAGCATTTGAGCCCCCTGGAGGAGACAGGGGGAGAGGAGGCAGGACTGCAGCCCTCTCCTCCTCAGGGGAATATATTTTTTTTTTAATTAAGATAAACCCCGAGAAAGGGAAAAAAAGCCACCACAACCAAGAAGGCAGGGCCTGGGCCACCCTACAGAGCCGAAGATCATTATTGATAGACATCCACCCAGTTGGCGAGTGGATGGGGTGTAGAGGAGACGGAGCCCCGTGGACCATTGCGCCAAACAACCCTAAGTACTGCCGGCCATTGGGAGAGCCCAGTGGAGATCTTCCCGAGGGGGAAAAACCCCCTCTCCTAGTTGTTTTTTTCATCAAAGTTGTGGCAGGCGAGTCGAGGGGAGAAGCTATACCCCAACAGGCCGGGCGGCACAAAGGGCGCAAAACACCACACCCATGTCCAGGGAAGTGCTATTATTATTGGTAATATTATTATAATAATATTGCTATTATTATAAGCTTTGGCAGAAAAGTTGGTTTTGTATTTAAATCATAAACAAGGTCAGGCTCTGACTGATTCTTTTAGCTATAAGCTGCACAGCTTGCAGATAGTATGGTAACCTGTATTCTCAGTCTCACTTCAAACCTAGCTGCAGCAACCCTATGAAGTGTAGGTAGGTTTGATGAATGCTGCAGAATAGGATTTTGAATTCCGTCTGTGAGCCAGTGGAATGCATAGTGTTTTGTTAATTGCCATTGCTTGATAGGTGGTATGCCATCTGCTGGGTGAGTTGCAGTTTTCATGCCACAGTTATCATCCATCATTTATAAAATGAAATATTGTAATCTGCTTATTCTGAAGATGGCAAAAAGCAGTTCACAATGACAAGGTCCACATCTAAAAGAAAAGGACACAGGTTCCTGATGTCTGAAGATGGATGTGTTTTGTCAGTATTGTGGCACTGCATATGTGAAAGAATGGTCTGTAGTCTCTGCACTGAATCTGCTTGCTACCTTAATAGTCAGTGGTTGTACAATATACATCTTCAAGTGAAAGGTGAAGTCAGCGTACCAGGAAGCTTTCCAACTGCTGCCTTTTCCTGCCATCATCACTTCCTCCCTTCTTGGGCTGCACTTAAATGTTCTTTCTTACTTGCTTTCATTTTTCTTAGCTACATAATAAATCTTGTTGGCTGTTTAGGTCTGCCAGCCAACAGTCATTCAAGGAGCTCCCCAGGTGGATTACCCTGAAGTCCACAGGGCTACACAGGTCTCAGCCCAAGTATCTTGTTGTAGGATTATGGCTTTAAATCTGGGATATTTGATCTCCATATGTACTAATGTATATCTTCTGCAAAAGATTTTACTTAAAATCACCCTTTGTTTATGGTATTTTAAAATCCTGCTAAGGTGTCTCTTATTTCCTTAATACATATGCAGATAGATATACAAGTATATTCTTTCATCCTGGCTTTCAAATTTGTCAGTATCCAGTTGCCCAATTAGTTAATGCCTCTCTGTCAGATGATACCTTTTGAATGGTGTAGCAAAAGAATAGTAGCAGCCATATAGCCTTGCTGTGCCAGAAATTGTTTCTATCCATTGGAAATATTAAGAAGTTTGGGGCAAATGGGGAAGAAAGAGAAAGCTTTCACAGTGGCTGTATGTATATATGTGTTTCAAAACAACACTTTTAAAAGCACTGCTGTCACATGGGTATCTTCTCTGACATCAACACAAAAATGTTCATTGTCCTTTTAGAACTGATTATCTTGCATTTAAAGCACGTTTGATTGTGTGCATAGCTAAATATGTTCTTCTTGAACAGCAGGAAGTTTTTGTATGGTAGCAGGTAGGCCTGTGCGGATAGGGAAGTATTCGATTTCAATTCAGATTCGGCCAATTCAGAGGACAGTGATTCGATTTGGATCGCTGTCCTGGATTGATTTGGCTGAATCGGCTTCAGAAGATTCAGCACTGATTTGAAGATTCTGCTATAGACTATAATGGGGAATCACTGAAATGCCTATAACTTTGTCATTTTTTGGCTGATTTGGATAAGTATTGCAGGCATGCTAGACCCTACTGAGGCCATGAAGCCTGCCAGGTTTCAAGGAGAATAGGTGCAGGGATTTCTGGGAAACTGCACCTCAGGCTGCTGACAAAAAGCTCATGACATGGGTGACACTGTGTATTTGTGGTGTGTGTGTTAAGGCACACTCTTACTGGCGCTGGGGCCTCTACACAACATGGTAGTGTGCCCCAATGAGGCCGCCTTCTCCCCTACAGCCTCAGTTCAGTCCACCACTTTAAATAACAAGAGGTAAGCAGTGCATAGTAACGCTAGTATCTCAGGCAGCCAAACTGTCACAGAGCCTTTCTTTCCTTTCCTTTAGGAGCTTCCCCAGCAGCTGCCAGAGGACTCTCCCTGCCAGCCCCAGGGCTTAGATGTGCCCAGGGCCCTGCATCCTTCCAATCAGCTGACCAAGAACGGGTGCTAGGGGTGTTGATCTAAGGACATGGCACTTGCAGATAAGGTTCTTTGCGTCAATCCTGGTATCTTTTAGTAGGCCAGCTGAATAGTTACAGAAATATATCTTGGCAAGCTTTTGGGTTAAAAACCCTTTGTTGGGCTGAGGAAGCACCTGCAGTTGGTGTGCAGAGGGGGTTGGGATGGCGTGCTGCCATCTAACACCCCATGCTGCCACTCTTCTGCCTCTTGCAAGGAGTGGGGTAAGGGAGCAGAGGCCAGCGCTCCTGGCCTTGGCTCCCCCACCCTCTGTCCAGTCCTCATCTCGGCATTGGAATCATGGCAGTTCCCCCTCCCTCTTCTCAGTTTCTGTTCTGCTGAAAGACTGCCTTCTGAATCTTTTTGGGTTTTTTTCTTCTCTTCCCAATTCATTTCAGGTTCGGTGATTCAGCCGCCGAATCTTCTCCGAATTGAATCGCAGACCAAAGCTTCGCGCACCCCTAGTAGCAGGCTCCTTAGAAATCTTTGCTACTGAAAGGATTCTGAAAGCAAGTTATGGGATATCTCTTTTTTTATCCTTAATTTTCATGGGTATTCTCCACAGCACCTTAAATGTCAGTTCCATCATGGAAGAGGCCCTCTCTAGAAAGTTATTGCTAGTTTCTTAGGTATGGGGTTATCCTTTGCTTAAATCCATACCAGCATTGTATATTATTCCATTTGCAATTGGAAAGCATATATATTAGTTTAACTCTTGTGAACATGATATATTTGCTCAATGCTGTTGTTATTTAGCATTTATATCATAGTGCCCAAAGATGCAACTAGGTTGGATCCAATAGTGCTGAACCCATCTGAAACAGAAACCTTTCCCCAAATAGTTTTGTTCTGCCTGAATGTCAGCTTGTATAAATTTTGTTTTGCTCACCTAAATGTAAGGAAACAGATCAAGAGGATACAGTATTCTTCAGATCCTTGTACCTAATTCTGCAAGGTAGTCCACACTGCAGAAACCCCACTGACTTCAGATAAACTCTACCAAAAGAAGTTAATAAATTTGCCCCAACAAATACAAGTCTACTATGTCTTTTTCAGAAAACTGATTACTGCCTGTTCCTTGAGGGATCATTTCCAGTAGATCCTGTGTGCAAAATGCTTTGGGATTCTGAACAAGAGGTGTTATACAAGTCTAAAGTAGAGCTGTGCAAAATTAAAAAAAAAAGGTTTGTTTAGAGTTGAATTAAATGTTTCATTCAACCAGATACTGAAAATCACAGTTTGAAAGACTTGTGATAAAGGCCAGTGATATGGAAGGTTAGACTGATAAAACTGCTGGAAGGGGAGGTGGCGGTGGAGTGACATTCAGCCAGAACCTTATACCTAATAGCCTGATAGTTAGTTGGGTCTCTCACCGAGAATATAGCAGATCATAGTTTTTCAATACTTGCCTTCTCCTTAAAGTAATCTGGACCCACATCTACAAGAAAGCCATAACCACAGAATGGGAAGAGTCGCTCTCTTTCTCGGTGACTATTTAACTATTCCACATGAAATGGAACCATTTCAACAGAGAGTTTCCTGCACCAGAATACCTGCTAGTGTGGAGCTAGAGGCACTCTCCTGAATGGGAACCAGAATTCCCATAAACTGGAGGAGTACCCAGTGAAAGGGTGGCAGCTCCTCTTCCAATTGTGTGAGTATAGTCCTTCTTTTCCCTGCCTTTTATTATGGCATCAGTACCTGTTCTCTTTAGCAGTTATGTAGTCTGATGTTTCTTGCTAAATTCAATGTGAAATTTCTTACTAGAAAATTGTCTCCTGAATTCTCCTAAAATTATCTGTTTTGAAGTGTTTTAGCATTGCCAACCTAAGTGTGTTCCCTAGTACGTATGCCATGTACCACATAGCCACAAATGGAAGTTCTTGTAACGATGTGCAGGCATTCACACTAGCACTGCTATTATACTAGTTCTGCAAACAGAGCTAAAAGTGCTATGTCATCTGTTGCAGTGTTACTCTGCACAGCTGCAATCCTATGGTAGGAAACCAACATAAATAATAAATTGCAATTATGCAATTAGTACTCTGAGGGCAATCCTGCTATGCTACTGCCTATCCTTCACTGACAGCCCTGGCTTTTGTCAAGTTTCTTGCACACAGCCAGTCAGTAAGTGTTGAGAGTTGCTGAAGCCCTATTTGATTAGTAGGGACCTACTTAAATTGCAGCAAGACAAAACGTTTTTTGTGGTGTGCTTGCAGCATGCAGAGCCAATTTTGTGGGCATTTGGCACCCCTTGGCACTGATTGGAGGAGAGGCTCTGGGGGGAGGAGGGACAAGGGACAGCTGCCATCTTGTTTGTTGGCTGCCCTTCGTGCTACCCTGCCCCTCAACACTGATTTAGCAGAGAAGCCTCGACAGGGCAAGGAGGGACTCTGGCAGCAAGGATTCTGCTGCCAGGTCTAAGGATGGTCTGGGGCTCTGGGGAAAGGGCCTTGAGGATGCCAAAGAGGTAGTTTTGCGTCGGAGTACTTACTTTGTCGGGAATGAGAGTCAGAAGCACAGGACTCGCTGGAATCACAGACTACACACTATCCGCTCCTGCCGGCTCTGATTCGCCAGGTGCTTGATGAATGACATCAGAAAAGCATGCCTGGCAACAGCTGCAGGAGGAGAGGAGAGACACAGAAAAGGAAGAGGCTATTGAATGAGTATATGCCCTGGCAGAGGCAAAAGTAGGAGAGTAGTAATTTCTCCCCTTCTGGAGGCTCGGAGGAGTCTCCTTACTTACCAAGACTTCAGTGGTGAGAAAGTGATGGGCCAGTATTCAGAGAGCTGCAGGCTGCCAGGAGTGAGAATACCTGTAGGTGTTTTCTCTGCTCCTAACAGTGGTTGTGTTTCAGGGCTCGTGATCTGGGGAATCCCAAGGCCAACTACCCTGTTACCAACCTAAGGACTTTTCTTTGATTTAAACAGACATACCCTGATCAGGGGCCCCACTCCTGTAGGAAACTGAGTGGTACAAGCTCAAGGACTTAATCTGTGCTGCTATAAAAAGCTAGCAATAAGTCCTTGTAGACAGAGTCAAGGTCAAGTTTCCAGACCTGTTGTGAAAACTCGGCTGTGATCCAAGAGCAGGGCAGAATGTGCGCAGACTGTACCATTAGGTCGGTGCCAGGCTGGGGTGCACGGGGAGGCGGAGCCACAAGAGACATCAGTTGGCCAGAGGTGATGAGATATTCTCAGACATGGATTTATCTCGGGGCCATAGAGGCTATACTGCAGGAACTAAGAAAGATAGGTATGACTGCTAATCCCAAAAAATGTGTGTTGGGGAAGGATGAGATGAAATATTTGGGATTCTTGGTAGGATGGGGAGTGATTACACTGCTGGCAGATAAGCTGCAGTCCAACAATTCAAACCTCCTCAGACAAAACAGCAAACAAGGTCATTCCTCGAGTTAGCTAATTACTATTGACAGTTCTTCCCACATTTTGTGGAATTTATCCACACCGCTGACAAACATCATATGCGGAAGGTTGTGAGGTCCAATAGAGTGGACGCCTCAAATGAATGATGCCTTTGCAGAGACATGATGGTGTTAACTCCTGATTTTACAAAACCTTTTGTCCCATCTTAGTTGACTCTAGCCTGTCTCAGTAGGTCACTGTAATTTATAAGGTGTTCAAATCTCCTAAGGGAGAATTCAGTTGCTAGATGAATGTCCCCAGAATCCCTTCCTGCAGTTGATCTCGCTCTGTTGATCTTACCCGCCACAACTTGATGTGTAAATCAGAATTGGGAGGAAAGGTCTCTGTGCTGAGAGAGTCCCGAGGAGCTTCCCTTAGTATATTGAGGGCACTGCCTTCCCCTTCACCCTCGCCCAAGCCACACCATTATAGTTTCATAGTTGATAGGGTCAGAAGGGACCTGAGCAGATCATCAAGTCCGACCCCCCTTCCATGGCAGGAAAGAACGCTGGGGTCAAATGACCACAGCAAGGTGACTATCTAGCCTCCTTTTTGAAGATCCCCAGGGTAGGAGCGAGCACCACTTCTCTTGGAAGTTGGTTCCAGCTCCTAGCCGCCTTGACTGTGAAGTAGTTTTTCTTGATGTCTAGCCTGAACCTACTCTCAGTCAACTTGTGGCTGGTATTCCTAGTTACTCCTGGTAGTGCTCAGGGGGGCAGCCACTCTCCCATTCCCTGCTGGTCCCCCCGGTAAGTTTATAGATGGCCACCAGATCCCCTCTCAGCCTTCTCTTGTGGAGGCTGAACAGGTTCAGGTCCCTTAGCCTCTCCTTGTAGGGCCTGCCCTGCTGCCCCCTGACCATTGAGTGGCCCTCCTCTCAATGATGTCCACATCCCTCCTGAAATGCGGTGCCCAGAACTGGACGCAGTACTCCAACTGCGGCCTAACCAATGTTGCATAGAGGGGGAGGATCACCTCCTTGGACTTGCTCGTGATGCATCTGTGGATGCATGACAAGGTGCGGTTAGCCTTCCTGACCACGTCCCTACATTGTTGGCCCATGTTCATCTTGGAGTCAATAATGACACCAAGATCCTTTTCTGCCTCTGTGCTGACAAGAAGGGAGTTCCCCACCCTGTAGGTATGCTGCAGGTTCTTCCTCCCCAGGTGCAACGCCTTGCACTTGTCAGTATTGAATCCCATCCTATTCTCATCCACCCACCCCTGCAACCTGTCCAGATCTAGAATGTTCATGATTTCATAGTCAATATTTAACTAATTTGTAATGAATTGCCTGCTAGTGGGGTTTGTAATCAAAATGAAATAAACAAGGGACCTGTACAATTTTCCACAAGGTGCTCGCTCTGGCTCTAAACCTAAAGTCCGTAGGCTATCGCCTGCTACTGACAACAGAGGGAGCGAGCTATAAGGGCAGTTCTGGCTCCCTTGATTATTACCACCCATGTCAGGCATTGTATTAAATCCTAAAAAAAACAAAAAAAAATAACAAGAAAAGAAATGTATAGCTTCACCGCTGTCGACAACTCACTATTTCTGCTGTGCTCCCTGCTTGTCGCCGTCTGTCTCACCGGCATTGCTCTCTGCTAGTGCTCCCCCTTGTTTGCCTCTCTCTGCTGCTCTTCAGGCTGTCAACACTTCCCCAACAGCCTAGGAGAGAATAGGGATTGCTTCCCACTCTTCTCTGCTTGGCCGTCACAGCGACTTCCGGTCTGGAGCTTCCAAGTTCTCTCCCCCTTTCCCTGGTCTTTTCCAGGGATCCTTTTATGCCTGTTCTCATTCATAGATTCATAGATGCTAGGGTTGGAAGGGACCTCAATAGATCATCGAGTCCGACCCCCTGCATAGGCAG